AATGAAATGTTCGTCGATCCCGGTTATATCTTTAACTATCTTCCTCTCGAATACTCAATCGAGGAGTATATCCAGTTCATCGAGGGTAGTTATTAATAACGAGATGCGTTCATTAATAAAACTTACTATCGAGTCAATATAGAACAAGCGCCGTATATTAACTTGATAGTAGCAATAAACTTAAGATGAAAACGATTGAGATTGATAACCTCAACACAAGCGGTTTATTGGTTTAATCAATATAATTAATTCCCCTTGGCTTATTAATCATGAGAAGCATGCATTAACAACCCAAGTTTACTACCATTGAAAGAACCGAATTAATAACAAGCGTATTAACCGATTGATTCTAGTAATAATTAATATATGAAACAAAACTAGTTGATCCTTTAAGTAATGTTCAAAATATTAATATGAAATATGAATAGGAATTAATTAATACTCAAGGAAGAATATTAAAGAAGATGAATCCTACTATAGTTAATATCAAGATGTTAACTAATTGTCATCTTAGTAACACTCCCCAATATTAACATAGAGGAAGAAATAGCTATTACTATAACTAATGTCAAGATGTTAACTAATTGTCATCTTAGTAACACTCCCCAACATTGATATAGAAATAGTATTTAAAGGAAGAATTAATATTCAAGGAAGAAGATTAAAGAGAATAACTCACAACTTACAAATTCATTAAGCTTCAAAGTAGCAAAACCAAGATGGAAGAGTTTAGCTCCTCATTTGGAGACTAAACATGCTATAAAAATATAAAAGAAATACTATTCTAAACTGAGCTTAAGAGTATGGAAGAAGGGATTATTAAAAGTGAAGGAAAATAGGGCTATTTATAGGTGTTTTTCAACACCTTTGGCCGGGTACCCGACCGGGTAAAGTGCCCACCCGACCGGGTGCATGTCAAAATCAAATATCTTCCACGTTCTGGCGATCTTTGGCACGTTCTGGTGTTCCGGGTCAAGACGGACCCGACCGGGTGAAATACCTCACCCGACCGGGTGATGTAATTTCCTGAGCAGTTTCGCATTTAAATTTCTCACCCGACCGGGTGCAATACCTCACCCGACCCGGTGATTGTCCTGGGCAGCCAAGAATTATTTTTCTTCACATTCAAAGTCTTCCTTTTCAACACCATAAATCCTAACTCTACTTTACAACTTACAAATGAGAACTAAAATACAATTACAACTAAAATCACACAAATGGTTATAAACTAAATAAAATGGTAAACAATCCACACAAATCAAACATAAAAAGACACATTTATGCACTACTAATTAGTGCATATCAGAAACCATGGAGGAGGATCTTTCCGAAACACCACCGCCACCACCTAGAGGGAACCAAGGCCCGAACGGACAAGGATCACGGACCTCGGGGGTAGCTCGGTGCAATAATTGCAAAAGGAGCCACTCTGGCAAATGTCGTGACCCTCCTAGATGCTTCCAATGCGGGAACACCGGGCACTTAAAGATGAATTGCCCACAATTGGGGGGGGCAAGGTCATCGGGACCAAGTAGCGGGGCTACGGAAACAAGAAACCAAGCCGGGGTTTCCCTATCAACTAGGGAACATGGGGGAGCAAGCGCGAGCAATGCGCCATCGGTGAATCAAGAAAGGGCGCAAGCAAGAGTCTACGCAATGACCGAGGCGGATGCGCGAGCAAACCCGGACTCCGTCGTAGGTAATACACTTACTTTCTGATGTTTCTAGGCTTATTTTGGTCATTTAAATCATAGGGGTTGGTTGCGGGCCACTTCGGGGTCAAACCGGGCGAATTTGGGGCCAAACAGAGCGAAAACAGAAACCAGGTACACCTTTGGCCTACAGGCACGCCGTTCCTACCACTCAGGCACGCCGTGCCTGAGGCTGGCAGAGACTCGGAACATTTTTTGCCTATAGACACGTCGTGCCTACCCCCCAGGCACGCCGTGCCTGGACCCTCAATCACCCCAAACTTCGTTTTTTAACCCGATTCTTTTACGATTGGACCCCCGTTTGATTCCAAACATTAATATGAACCCAATAACCTCCTAAAAGTGCCCAAAAACATTAGAAAAGGTATCGTACATGGTGTATAAATGTAGGAACATTAAAGATTAATGGGAAGGATGCACGAATCCTTATCAATACCGGAGCGCAACGTTCATTCGTGAGTGAGGCGTTCGCCGAGGACTTAGAGATACAATCAATACCAATGACGCAAACTTTAGTGGTATCAACACCATTAGGAGATGACATTGAAAGAACTAGTTACTATCCATCCTGTGAGGTGGAAATTGATGGCCAAACCTTGACGTGTGATTTCGTACCGCTGAGTATGATGGAATTCGATGCAATCCTAGGGATGGATTGGCTAGAAAAGCATCATGCTAGGGTAGATTGTTACACAAAGGTTTTAGAACTCGAAGGCAATGATGGAAACACCCTACGCTTCAAGGGGGATCGGGGCAAATCAAACAGTTGTATCATATCCGCCGTGAGAGCAAGAAGTATGATGAGAAAGGGATGCCACACATATCTAGCATACGAGTTTGACAAAACCAAAAAGGAAACGAACATCGGTGATGTGAGGGTAGTTTGTAAGTACCCGAATGTTTTCCCTAAGGACCTGCCGGGGCTTCCACCTGATAGGGAGATTGAATTTATGACCGAGGAGAGCCCGGTACCAAACCAATCTCTGTACCGCCATATCGAATGGCACCTGTTGATCTTAATGAATTGAAAACCCAATTGCAAGAGCTATTGGGTAATGGGTTCATTAGACCCAACTATTCACCGCGGGAAGTACCAGTCCTCCTTTGTGAAAAAGAAAGATGGTACCCTACGATTATGCGTTGACTACCGGCAGTTGAACAAGGCTACCATCAAGAATAGGTATCCTCTACCTAGGATTGATGACTTGTCTGAAAAATTGGCATCGCCATTGACAAAGCTCACTTGAAAAGGGGCTAAGTTTGTATGGGATAATCGATGCGGAAAAAAAAATCTTAGAACTGAAGAAGAGGTTAACTGAGGAACATGGACTCATCTTTCCAAAACAAAGTATGAGGTATGATGTCTATAGTGATGCGAGCATTCAGGGACTCGGATGTGTGTTAATGCAGATGGGAAGGGTGATTGCCTATGATTCACGACAGTCGCAGAAGCATGAGGTGAATCATCCTACTCATGACTTAGAGTTGGGGGCAGTGGTATTTGCACTAAAGATATGGAGGCATTATCTTTACGGAGAGACGTGTCATATATACACTGACCACACAAGCTTGAAATACGTGCTTACTCAGAAAGAGTTAAACATGAGACAACGACGGTGGATGGAGTTGATAAAGGACTACCACCTAGTGATTGAGTACTATCCTGGTAAAGCAAATGTTGTGGCCGATGCCTGTTGTCGAAAGAGTTCGCCAAGGGCATTGATAACAAATTTGAGAACATTGAGAACTCAATTCGAAGTAACTACTGATGGTGCCTTGGTGGCGAGATTTGAAGTGAGGCCTACCTTACTTGATGAGATCAAGAAGGGTCAGGAACTGGATAAGGAGCTAAAAAGGGTCCGAGAATGCATACTAGCGAGACCCGTGGAGAATTTCCGTGAGGGAGACGATGGTCTCTTGTCACTCCGTGGCCGAGTGTGTGTACCATCAAATGATGAGCTCCGAGAGTCCATACTAGAGGAGGCTCATTCATCGGCATACGCTCCTGAGTTAGAAAAGATACATAGTGTATTTCATGTATCCATACTTAAAAAAAAAGTATGCACATGATCCCTTTTACGTATCGGAAAACCAATGGTTAAAGTCATTTGGAAGAGCGATCGGGTCGAAGAAGAGACGTGGGAAACAGAGGCTTTGATGAGGAAGTAGTATGCTTTCCTATTTGAGTAAAGTTGTGAATTTCGGGGACGAAATTCCTGTTAAGGGGGGGTGAACTTGTGACACCGCACCCGAACGTCCTTGAAAATTCAATTTAAAAATTGAATGTCTATGGATTGAATTTCCGATTTCCAAACAATTGTAAAACGATTAATGTTTTACGTAGCGCATGATTGATTATTGTACTGTTCAAACTCGTATATTAGTGTCGGGTTTGCAAATACTTATTTGGGCCTTATTAATGAACATAAGAGCCCAACATTACCTAAATAATGTTACATAACCTTTCAAGACAAGTTGAGGAAGGTCGGGCGGCCCAAGCATTATTTTGGGCCCAACGTGCTAAAAATAGTAAGTATTCAAGAAGGGCGTCTGAGGCCCACTCGAGGGTGACCCACACGGCTAGTAGTCCAATAATATGAATGACAAATGTCAAAATAAGTGATAGAATGATTAGAGAATAATACAAATGCCTATGGTCCCATCTTTGGCATTATTGAGCGAAATAACGGGAGTAGGTTTTTCTTCTATAGTATTCATCATGTAAATTATTGGGATGATCATACACATATTGGAGATAAATAATATGATGTAGAAAGTTTACTTGTTCTAAATAAATTAGAATGAGTACAAAGAGACATCTTTTGACAAAACATAAAATAATAGGATCCATTTTTCCATTTTTGGAAGTATTGGTAGATATTTTGGACCCCAAATTGATTGGATCAATTGGGAAGCACTCCACATGATTTGAGTACCTGCAAGACAAGAACAATATAAGTGAGGAGACTTACCTTACCTGCAAGACAAGAACAATAAGACCCGGTCCCACTCACTTTCAGTTTTTTAAAATTGAAACAACATATTAGTAAACACCCTCATTTAATGCTAACGGCCCACCTACGTATATAATATTCTCGAACAGTGCACCAACCCCACCACACTAACTATTCTCCAACCACCCACCCCATTTTTTTATAGGAAGCACGCACCAAATTAATTACTTATTTAAAAACCCACCCACCACATTAAAAACCCACCCACCTATCACCACACTTAAAAACCCACCCACCACCCACCACATTTACTCGTTTATCTAAAACAGCCATCCACAATTATTATACTCCAACCACCGACGTTATATATTTTTGAAATAAACACCACACATTGTTTTAAAATAAATATCAAGCATAACACAGTTTTGATTTTAAATTACACCATGCGTCTTAGCCATATTTATCTTTTTCACTTCAATTATTTCCGACCACTGGCTCCAATCAACAGCTTAATACAATTAAACTACTACTTTGCTACTACAAAATCCACAGTGGCCTGGGACCTGAATAACATCCATGGAAGAATGTCCAGCGAGAGAGAAAGGTTCATCTTCCTGATCATTTGTGCACACGGTAAGCACGTATTCATACTGTTTCGATTAATCTGTTTCATATTTATTGACTCCATGTTTTAATTATCTGTTAACACACACTGTTAATTTTTATTAACTGACACTTGATGGACAATAGAAGCACCTACGGTGGTTCCCCTTGACTTAAAGAAGCTGGACGACAAAAAAGGTGAGAAAGCCATCCCATTAATTTAGCTGTTTAATTCTGTGCACTATTTTTATAAAAAATTGTGTCTGATTTTAGGATCGGTTATAGCTCTGCATCAATGAAATGAAAAAAACAAAAATCACAGAGCCAAATGGATGACAGGAGTGACATGTGTATCCTGAACGGTAAGCTGTTTACCTCATTCATCTTTAATAATCTGCCTTCATTAGTTATGACTTATGAGTTTACTAAAAACCACATATGACGACTTTATCACCAATACTCTTTGCCACAAATTTTGTATAACCTTACATGTACTAAATTTTAAAATGAATGTTTATTCTATCCAGCATCATTGAAGTAAATATGATGCCAATCACTAAAACTTTTACTTCACAAAGCACATTGATGTACAATATCCAATCCTCACTCATCTGTCATCTATCATTTACTGTGTAGATCATACCATTCTTAATAAACCATTTTACACTTGCAACAATCAAATAAATGTTTTTTTATCAACCTTTATTGTAAAATAATCAACTCTGTAACTGCCACACACTCACAAACAACATTTTCATACACATTCAACACCGCAACAACAAACATATAAATTTTGAGAGAATGAAATTTGCATCTAGGCACGACACTATAAATACCTGAATGCGGTCGCTTGCGACCGATTATCACTGACTTGGTTAGCCTAGGCATTCACAACGACTCCAGAAATAAATTACACAGTTCCAGCTCCACACACAATTTGCCAACCTAAAATCTAGGTTAAAAAAGAAATTTATATCAAATTGCACAGCCGTATAATAAATAAATAGTTTAAAAAAATCTGATTTCCAACAAAAGGATGAACCACACACAAATGGAACATAAATAGATCTATTCTGATATCATAAAAGGCATCAACATAACATTCTAAACATTAATACTATAGACCAATAAGGGGCCAAACACAAAATAGGAGTACATTAGTCACATTCAGCACACTCCACCCCTGAACATAAGCAACCACATCCCCTTAAACTAAAATTTACATCTGGTCAAAGCTATTTAGCAAGCCAACCGAAATCCAAGCCGACAACAAAATCCGCGTTGAAGTAACGCTTGTTCAAACAGACCGTGCGCGCGGAAAGCCTGAGGGTCACATGGTCAGTTAGATCAGTGGGGGGCGTCCCCAGGGCGTTACCTGAAGCATCACCAAAAGATTCAAAGGACCACCCAAGTTCAGGATCTTCATACATAGGGGACAAAGGTGCCGGCGAAGGGAGCCTGGGTAACGGGGGTGCCCCATCAATGAGATAATTCAGATCAAATCTTTGATAACACAAAAAACAAAACCCTAGATGAAAACAACCAACAGTACGCATATCATTTTCGTGGAACATGTAAAAACAGTTTTGACACTGTCTCACAAAACAACCGGCAACCACACCACCACTGTTCTCAACAATGGATTCAAAGGACCACCTGAGTTCATGATCTTCGTACATAGGAGACACGGTGCCGGCGAAGGCAGCCTGGGTGCCGGGGGTGCCCCATCAATGAGATAATCCAGCTCAAATTTTTGATAACACAAAAAACAAAACCCCAAGTGGAAACAACCAACAGTACGCATATCAGTTTCGTGGAACATGTAAAAACAGTTTTGACACTGTCTTACAAAAAAACCGACAGCCACACCGCCACCATTTTCAACAAAGCCTGCTTGAGTTTCCATTCCACGTTTCTGCTACGCCAATATGAAATCAATATGATGTAGGAAACTTTAGAAAGCTCAATGTTTAGAAGCCCCAAGTGTTCTAGAAAATAAGTGTAGAATATATGTTGAAATCACTAACAAATTTTTCATTTTTTGGTATTAAAAATAGCCCCACCCCGAGAAGTATGTGGTAGTGTAAAAGGCTTCATCACAAAAAGTTATACAGATTCAAGCCCACATATTTTCTTGATTGTATTTCCATTCTCTAATATGACTTGTATAATGAAATTGGTTGGAGCCCTCGTGATTGAGTGTCACCCTTGACCATTTTAAGAGATATTTAACCTATGACTAAAATGTGATGGCTTAAATTAAAAACACCATGAAATAAAATAATTACACATATAGGGCAGACCTCCAAGACAAACTTAAAATCAGTCCAAAAATGCTCAACACACAACCAAAAAAGAAACAAACTACTGAGAAATTAGTATCTAAAATGAAAAACCAAACTTCATTTCCATACTAATGACGACATATTAAATTAGTAGCAATGCAACCAATCATTGACTATTGTGACTGACCTAAATAACTCAGCAATAGTTCTCTATAGTTCTCACAATGTGGATGGAGGGTTAGAGCAAGTGATAGTTTAAGAAATAGATGGAGTTGAGCTTTTGGTTGATTTTTTACTTAGACTGGGATACACATATATATACATATATTCTATCCGTAAGCCTGACCCTATTAATTTTTCAAGCCTTAGAAGATCACACAAAATCTGTAATAAATCACAAAAACCATATTTTTGGGTAAGAAACAGTAAAAAAGTAATGATTACTTCCACTCAGCCTATATATTATGCACTAAAGCACTGTTTTCAACCAAAAAGTAACCAATAGTGCTTTTCTAACACAGCAATGTCATCATTTATCTTTTCTTTGAAAGTGTGGCTTAGTATCTACCACACGGTTAACTGACAAAGCAATATACACACGCAATGCCCATTCCCATGACACTGTTTATAAAATATCTCATTGATTTTGTGATGGAAAATTTCACAAAACACTAATCATTCATTGATTTTGAAATCTAAAGGCTTTGTTTGCAACCACTTGTGCATAAATAAAAGCACTTTTTGATAAAAAGTGATTAATAGTAAAAGTTGGTAGTGTTTGGTAAAATAAGTGTTTTTTGTGTAATAGAAAAAGTAAAAAGTAGATTCTACACGGAAGCCGAGAAAGTAAAAAATTGGTAGTGTTTAAAAATCACTTTTCTTAAGTGATTTTAACAATGGCTAAATAATTTCAAAACATACAGAAAAATATTCACTTTCAGTTTGATTTTAACAATGCTTTGATAAAAACTGGTAAACCTCCAAAACATTCTTTGGAATGTGATGGATTAAATTTAATGGGAAAATGGTGAAAGACAACTATGATTTCAACCATGCTTTCACCCCAAAACAGAAAAATATTAACTTTTACTGTGATTTTACCATACTTTCATTTTGGAAAAAATATTAATCTGTATTCCCATTGTAGGGCAACGGGTTATTTTTTCTAATGAAATTTCCATCACAGGACTCCTCCGGTAGTTCAAAGTGAAAGACTCTTTGGGCATTTTTAAATTAAAGGCCGTTATTGTTTGAAAAAAATATCCCCTTGCCGTGCATAAGCCCCAGTTTGTTGTAAATTTGTGACTTGATAAAAGTGTTGGCTCTATCCTTCCAAATTCAATGTGTTGACCGTGTTGCTCCTCATTTGACCTCATTGACCATCTAACTCCGCTAATTGACCTGCAAAATAATCACTAAAAAGAACTGAAAAGTATATTAGTGGCTCGAGACGCGTCAGACGCTGTCCTAAGGAATTATTTCCGGCGTACGGAAATTTCCCCCAAGATATAACGAGCCCTTCGGTTATAAACCGGTACCAGAACTAACGAGAAGAAAATAGTATATGAACCCGGTAATCAAGTTATGATAGTTTATGATGAAGAACTTTCCTGAAAAGTATAAACTTATTGAGAGACGATTTGTTGCTCCAATAATCCTTCTAATATTTCTCCAGCACACATCCATGTAAATAGTACTTCATATAATAAGTAATATACATGTAAAGTACTCGTTGTTAACTTTTGGGTATGGCATCTACCATCTACCCCTGCCTGCTCTATCTCGTATATATATATAACACCAGTAATGAACAATTGGAATAAAGCTAATAATACGTTGCGTTGGGCAAAACATTTTGATCTTCAAAGTACCATTTATGGCTAATAATAAAAGAAAACGTTTATGAGTAAATAACCTTTAATAGAAATTATAACGTATAAGATGATGGGAGTTAGAAAATGTATGGTTGGAATAGAAAGATTAATTAAAGATGAATTTATTCATTTGAAATATTTCAAATTTTCCAACAATCCCCCACATATTTCAAACGAATAATTTTTAATTGTATAAAATCAACAATTCCTTACTGGGTTCATATATGGGGTGAAGTTTTTCAATCTGGTGTCCGTAGACTTGAACCAGACCTAGACGCCTAAGTCTTTAAATACCGAGTTTATTGGTGAAACGTATAGTTTCTATGAACCAATAATCTACTTTGGTAAGTCAGTGTCTTAGGGGATCATTTTTCACCCCCACCTTTCTCGTCGTTAACGCCGTTGTGCGCCTCTTGGCCGTGCGCGTGCTTGGTGTTCTTGAGTGCTCTAGAAGCGTTGTCAATGCTTCATAGAGGCGGCCCCACCTCTCACTCATATAGGTGACCTCATCAAGTGTGTCCCGCACTTAACACACCACCCGTAAGGGATATGACAATCATTAAGAACTTTAGCTCAACCTCACAAAGAAATGCAGTCTAGCCTTCCACATCATAGAAATGGACATTTTACAAGACTAGCAGAACAAATAGAAGACTTGTTATTACCCATTTGAACTTGCTTCATGGGATCTCCAATCACACAAGTTGGGTTCCCATCCCTATTTGTTGTCAAAGTGACATTAGTCCATTTCCCTCGATGTTTAAATTTATCATTTAACGTCCTAGGGATTCTATCAAAATGAGTAGCTAATTCCTTTTAACTTCACAAAATTAATGGAACAATATTCCATTCTCAAACATTATTGCACCACTTTTAAGGGTGAATGGATATCCACTAATTTATCTCATGTGAGTCGACTCATATTACGTCGTTGTATCCCGGCAATACAACAGATAACTTTCAACAAAATATACATCGATGTGACACTTGTGTTCATCGGATAATTTCACTGATACGTTATATCCTAACGGATAATTCTCAATGAAATATATATCATCATTGTATCATTATAGTGCAATGGATAATTCTCATATATAACATCGTTGTACCTTTCTAGTACAACGGATATTTCTCAATTAAACATATCATCGTTGTATCAATATATTACAACGGATAATCTAAACCATAATTAATGATACCTCTCGAATATCTCAATAACTTAAGGTATCACAACCATCACTTTTGGTTTTCAAATATTTGCTCGATCTTCAATTCCAGCATTTTAAAATAATCAAATGTCACACACATTTAATTGTAACACACTCACATTTTTTATTTATTTATTTATTTATATCAAAGTCATAAGAGAAATTCACATTTTAACATTGAAATGTCAAACTTCTTAACAAGTTTTTCAATATGATGATAATAAAATACCAACATCCATCCTTGTGGCTTTAATACTCAAAATTACTTTTATTATATTTATATATCAACTCAATATAGCTTAAATAAGCATATAAAAAATCCCAGCAACAAATAATTACCAATGCACCACTTAATGTATACACTTTTTTTTTTCAAAAAAAAAAAGTTATCACATTAATCTCAAAGATATAATAGTTTAAAGTATTGCATACTAGCAGATTAATTCTTCAATTTAAGAAAACCGTATATATGCTCCACTATTTCATCTTATGTAAAAGCATCCAAAAGTTGCAAAACTCATTTTTACTCAATGAGATAGGTAGTAAAACTTTAGCTAAGCACGCCCACAATTTTGTTTATTCCAAACCAAGTGCATAACTCTTCTAAAATTCAATAATATCTATTTTATGAAGATTATTTCTAGCTCAACTTTTATTTGCACACCAAGATTTACCATAGCTCACCTTTAACTTTAACGAACATATTAAAATTTAGTGTATATATATAAAAAAATCATCATTATAATGTATATAACATCATCATACCATTATAGTACGAAGGATAACACTCAAATATAACATCGTCGTATCACTCTAGTACAACGGATAATTCTCGATAAAATGTGTCATCGTTATACTCATTTAGTACAACTTTATAGAATATATATAACATCATTGTATCATAATAATACAATGGATAATTCTCAATAAATTATTCCATCATTGTATTCCGTTAATACAATGGTTGTTTAGCTCACCAAATACATTTTTGTGTTTTCAAGTTCATCACAATCTTCCGACAATTTTGCCGGATCTCACATAGTGTGTTAAGTTTAATAAATTCACACTTTGAGCATCAAGATAAGTTTCTATAAAATGAACAATATCATACTACAAAATTATTCCTTAATTCAACTCAATATATCTCCACACTCAATTTAATAATAAAAGTGACACATATTATTTGCATCCACAATTTTTGAATTTCACCACAAATCAATTAATACCCAGTATAATATACTACGCATCTAAAAGCACACTGCACACATGCACAACAATTATTGTATCTCAAATATACCCCCAGTGTAATTTAGCTATTCAAATTAACATTACATAACACTGTGTAAGAAGTAATATGCCACATATTAAAAATATCAAGAAAATTTAAAAGAGTATAATTTCACTTAGTAATTTTAAAATATTTGGCACACAAAATTCATGATTACAATAGCTTTGTCTCAAAATTTACTCATTATTTTCCATTAGTCAAAACCACATTTTTTTTTTCAAAAGGGAAACATAAACTGAAATAAATCAAAACTCGAACACTTGGAATACGTTATTTAAAGATAATAGTTTTGCATTCACAAATGAATTTTGTTGCCTCAAAATCTACCAATTATTCATTCACATCCGTCTCTATCCAAATTAAAAATTAACCGCAATAATTATATAATCACCCGCAACAAAATTTATTTTTATTTTGATGGATTTTTTTTTTCATAATTTTCATTATATATATATAAAAAGATGTTTATACTGAAGGTTGTTTGTAACGAGAATAGTTATAAACACATACCACAAACTTGATCATTTAGCGGGAGCTAGAATTTTCACCGCTTGTCTCAAAGAGAATTTCGGGCACGTTTACAATTCCATAGGTGTAATCTTTATTCGCCATAATTCCTTAGATTGTTGGCTCTATCCTTCCAAATTCAATGTGTTGACCGTGTTGCTCCTCATTTGACCTCATTGACCATCTAACTCCGCTAATTGACCTGCAAAATAATCACTAAAAAGAATTGAAAAGTATATTAGTGGCTCGAGACGCGTCAGACGCTGTCCTAAGGAATTATTTCCGGCGTACGGAAATTTCCCCCAAGATATAACGAGCCCTTCGGTTATAAACCGGTACCAGAACTAACGAGAAGAAAATAGTATATGAACCCGGTAATCAAGTTATGATAGTTTATGATGAAGAACTTTCCTGAAAAGTATAAACTTATTGAGAGACGATTTGTTGCTCCAATAATCCTTCTAATATTTCTCCAGCACACATCCATGTAAATAGTACTTCATATAATAAGTAATATACATGTAAAGTACTCGTTGTTAACTTTTGGGTATGGCATCTACCATCTACCCCTGCCTGCTCTATCTCGTATATATATATAACACCAGTAATGAACAATTGGAATAAAGCTAATAATACGTTGCGTTGGGCAAAACATTTTGATCTTCAAAGTACCATTTATGGCTAATAATAAAAGAAAACGTTTATGAGTAAATAACCTTTAATAGAAATTATAACGTATAAGATGATGGGAGTTAGAAAATGTATGGTTGGAATAGAAAGATTAATTAAAGATGAATTTATTCATTTGAAATATTTCAAATTTTCCAACAAAAAGTATTGTCGATGCGTAACTACCTGCCCTGGTCATGCCAGCCAATCATGGGGTGGGGGTGAGTTATGGTGTAATCCTGATTCACATCATATTAACTCTATTACATCTGCACTTTATAGGTCATGAAAATTGCAACATATGAAATTTTAAAATACACAACCATGTCACACTTTGGAAGTTCACTTAATAACATACTAACGCTTGATTTCTTGTGTAAAATTGCAGGTTGACTATCGGTCATTCCATTAATTGCGGAACGCAAATGTTTTTATCCTTCTTTAATTCAATTAAAAAAATGTTGTAATAATTGGACTTAGGCTAGATTTAGGTTGTCCCCTGCTCAAGCCTGACCCAGGTTTGTTTATCTATGCCTCGGCTTTTAATATATCGTAGTCTTGTTGATCCGTTACACGTATATTTATGACATTTGTCTGGAAAGTTGCAGTCAATAACTGTTTCAATGAAAACGGGGCAGTTACTTGCATTGCTACACAGATTATTTTATGCACATTTAATCCTCTCCAACAACATTTTATGATGCCCTTAGACTGCTTAAGCAGTTTTGTTGCAAGAATATAAATTTCTCTGCACAAAAGTCCTCAGATTTCTCTTAAGAAAATTAAGTCCCTATTTTAGTTTATTTCCTCTTGCACATATCATGTTTGCCATTAGTACATGAATATTGAAAATAGCTACCTATTTTTTGATAAACACACAACTTGTTTCGTATAAGAACAGGTTTTGACCAAGTTAAATCAGGAACTCCTGCATATGACCCATAGATGGACTAAATAACTTATGATCCTGAAGGAATATTTTACTGCAGGTCATAGATGATGTTTTTCTCGAAACAACTCATATATTGACCAATATCGCAGGACCTTTGCCAAATACCTTTACATCTTTGAAAACTTTTATACCTTTACAAAAAAAAATGTTCATGTGTTTATGATCTGTCTCACTCACAATTTTTTCAATGAATTTGTTTAAGTATGATGAATAGTCAGTGCATAATGTGTGTAGAAAAATTTAAATTTTTTTTACTAAAAGTCGTGTGAGACAAATCAAAGTGAAGAGGTTTGTAAACTTTCAAGCCTCTCCACACAATGCCCTCTAAACTGAACATCAGCATAGATTAAAATTTAGCTAAAGGTTGAAATATGTCAATAAGCTCTACTGATTTAGGTTTGATTTGGGACCCTCCTATGTGTAACGAACTGCCCTGGTCATTCGAATTGCCAATGTGCAACGAACTGCCCCGATCATGCCAGGCAATCAGGGGGGTGGTGAAATAGGGTGTAATTCTGATTCTCCTTACATTATTTAACTGCAATTTGAATATCCATTTTACAGCGGTTTAAAGACACGTGTAAGAACATTCTAACGCAGGACCATATTTTGTAAATTGCAGGTCTACCATGGGAAGGCAAATGAATTGTGGCATGTAACTGGGGAATGTAATTTTATTTATTGTTCTGTTGTTTTGATCAGAAATGTTGTGATAATTAGACTTAGGCTAGATTTAGGACGTACCCCGCTCCAGCCCGATCCCAGGTATGTTCTTCCATGCACGGCTTATCTTTAAATTATATGCCTTTGTTGTTATGATACAGGCACTTTAACATGACAAATTTTTTATGTGGGTCTCGGACATACTATTTATCGAATGAAATACCTAAGACCTATTCAAGGTTGCCGCTGAAAATTTTCTCAGGAACTTCGTTTCCACAAAAAATCTTCCACACACAAGTTATTAGTTTCCCCTTTAAAAAAATGCTTGCTTTTTCCTCCAATATGAAATCATAATTTTTAACACAATGACACACACATTGTTTTCTTTAATTTAAAGGTAACAATCAATTCCACATGAATACAGATCTGTTAAGTTAAAGTGCCAACTTTCTCAGGGCCGGTCCTGACCATTTCTGGGCCTATGGGCGGTACGCTATTGTGGGCCTATGACCGTATACTTATTTGAAATAAGAATTTTAATAAAAATGTCCAATGAAGTTCATAAAATAAAGTCAAAAATCACTTTATTATTATTATTATTATTATTTAAGTTACATATTTGGGCAAAAGTAACAACACAAGTATCGGATAAAAAGAAAAAACATCAGTAAAAAACATTTCTCGTAGAACAATATGAAGCAAATAATCAATAATAGCTTCATAGGCGACCTTCTTTCTATTAATACATGACAAACAATAAAATTGCCACATATAACAACACTAAACTTTTTTTTGAAAGGAAATATGAAAAAAATGTCACTACATATTGAATTCATAAGTTGAGAATGATTTATTGACCGTTGATGGGAGTCTAAAGTTTGAAGTCTCAAAAGAATGAAGGGTTTCAAAGAGACAAAATGTATGGCCGCCAAGAACACTCTCGCAAGAAGACTGCCAATTTGACGTCCTCTAAACTACTATTAGGAACTCAGATATAGTTTATTGAAATTTGGAAACAAATAAATAATTGGGATGAGATTTGAGAGAGATGGGCTCTAAAATAATTATATAAATTTGTTATGTTATAATTAAATGAATAAAAAGCCTTAAAGGCTAAAGAGATGTAAAGACTACAACAGATCCTACTTAAAATTAATGTATATATTCTTTTTTTGATGGAGCAACAATCGTATTGCTTTAAAAAACTACAACTGATCCTACTTAATATTAATGTACATATTCTTTTTTTAAACTTGGCTCTGTTTAAAAAATTTTATTTACATTTTAAATTTTCAAATTGCCAATAAAATTAAACATTAGGCCTAATTAACTGACCTTAAGAAATAAAAAAAGAAGCTTACTAACACTACACATCAAGAAAAAAATTGGGCCTATATTTTCTTCTATTTTTTGTCGGGCCTAAGGCGGTCGCCCCTCTTGCCCTCCCACCAGAACCAGCCCTGAACTTTCTGCAGATCACCCCCACACAGGTTCTGACCTGTCTAGGAATGGAATGAATAAGCTTAGGGCAGAGTATAAGGGTATTTCAGAATTATTTTACCCACTTTAACTATGGTGTTAGTCTCTGTGTAGTCAAACCATAGCTAATGCAAAAAGGCTATGGAGGTTAAGCCTTATTGGCCTAAACAAAGTAAGGTGTTACTCGGTCCTGGTCCTCTGGAAAACTTTTTCATGTTTAAAATATGGTTCTTTACAAATAAATTAACATTAGATACTTAATATATATCATTAGATCAATTGAGTTACAGCCAGAGCACACTTTCGGTTAAAATGTGCGAACCAATTACAAAATCCAAAATACAAAAAATGCAGAAGACAGCCGAACACTTGTGATAGTGTTAGTATTTTGTCTTCTAGCAACATTTTCTGGTTGTGACCTTTTATTACATTGATACTACTTAGGACCAACATACTGAACAAAACATAGATAGGACACAACAACGAGAGGAAGTTTTATTTAGTTGTCTTCATAACTTAGGTGCATTGAACTCTAGGCACCCATAATATATAGCACTCCCTCCTGCAAACCACATATATCTTCTCTGGAATTGGTAAACCTCAAGGCTTAGGCTCCTCGATCTTTATGCCCTTCATTTTCTTCATTGGGACTGTAGAAGAAGACTCTCCAAACAGATTCTTCTTCAATTTTTCTCCATTGATTTCAAGCGCAATCCTCTTTTCCTTGCTCAGCAGTGGTGGGCTTGTTGAATTGACACACTGGGATGACCCAACCTAAAGATTAAGGACAAAGTTGTTAGTTGAATGTCTTAGGAACCATTTGTTTTAATTTTTGAAGGACAAAAAAATGAAGATTAACATTCTCTGTGCCACAAAACTCCTTCCTCAACAGGGCAAACTCATCCTCATCCTAAACATTTCAAAAACAAATGCTTGTGTCATAATATATGCAGGAAGTTTAGGTGTCTTAAAACTGCAAATAGTCAGTTATGTACAAACCTCGGCTGCGCTTATCTCAGAAACATAAAGGGATATAACCCTAGGATCAGTATTCATTCTAAGCACACTGAAGGTTTGGTTGCCCTTGTGGTTCCGGGAGTCCATCTTGCATTGCACACGGAACAGTGCCCTAATATCCATCAGGGCATTGATCTCCGAAGGGAAGTAGTGGGGGCCAAAATTTCTCTATAGAAAAACTTTATGTAAGTAGGATGTTCTTGAATCGGTAGAAAAAAAGCTTAACTTAAACCGAAAAAAAATTTGATAGGTTTCAAACCTTGGCTACTTGTTCCTTCAAATACGAAGCAGAACGACCTATCAGACACGAAACTTCCCTATCCCACAGCGTGAATGATGCATGCGATGTTCTGTCAATGACCCTAACGTTAACCTTGTACTTGCACAATAAAATTTTAGGCCTTCACGTGTACTGAAAATCTTATGCTTTCACTATTAAATTCGGGGGAGTATAGAGTACACTGACCGAAGGACTGCATCAGAAGTGTTGCAAGTTAAACACTGAAAAGTGTCACCATTGGGCGTCACTTTGCGGTTACATCCAATGCTAGAAACGTAAGACCAGTCTCTGTGGCTGTCTATTCCAGCAATCTCTCCATAGACCCAGTGTTTGCCATCCTTAAAAAACAAAAATTAGGTAAATATGATATAGGGATGTTGTAAAGCCTGATACGTTTTAAATATACCTCCTCCATTCTTGTCAGCTGGTCAATAGTGACCAGTTCGATCTGTCCGCAGCTAATGTCTCCTTCGTTGGAGGTATCCGAAGATATTGTAAAGCTTAAACCCTCCCCACACCTTTTAGCCATTCTGTGTAAAAAGTGTTTGATTGTTTGCGAGAATCATCACATTACACCAGGCTCTAAAATACTGTAAAATTCTAAGCTCTTTACCTCGCCTTAAAATCATTGAATACTTCTTCCGAACCATTCATAATGACTTTTGGTGGTGTTAAACATATTTGACACATGCACTTGACCTAAGGTCAATCTATCCGTTAGTATGAAAATGTAAACCCACAAAAGTATGAATTTAGTGCTCAACAGTTTTACTCTCTTGATATTAAGAAGTCAGATGATGGTCACCTTGGTATTTTCTTGCTCTGCAGCATTGCAGAAGCATGACTATTGGTTCTGTTGTGGTTAGTTTGTAGGTGACCAACATATCTACCATAGGACCCCACAGTATGCATGCGATTACATTTCCCCTTGCAAAACATGATTTGATAAGGAGAATAAACAAATAATGTGATACAACGTTATTATAATGTTAAATTTTACTAACTCAGTATCTCCCAAGATGAGCTCAATCAGTTTCTTGGGACGATCATTCTTTAGAATCGTTTTAGGGTCTTTGTCATGGACAACCTGGCCAATGATATTTGCATCGTCGTTTATTTTTAGCATTTCATATCATATAAGGAACACCAATTATCGTTTCTTTTAATGCCCAAAACATACAGATTGTCGCTCTATCATCTATAGTGTCTTGTGCATGTAGAGTAGAAAAGGACACCAATGAAAATGTCTTCAATGGAAATGGAATTTTCATCTCAAATGCCTCACTTTTTTAAAAAAATCTTAGCCTGTAAGCACTTGTTGTTGTTTTGAAAACCATAAAGTTTTCTTCCACCATGAAATTTTTAACTGCAAAGATATGACCCTCCTTAAATAAGGCGTGAAACTTGACAACAAATTGATTGATCAGGCACGTGAGCGTGAATCTTTGAGCCCTGTTATACAAAAAAAATTGTTACGAATGAGGGTAAAAACATGTTCAGTACTAATTAGAATATACGAACCTCTGCATCATGAAAGATCACTTCCAGAGATGGCGGAAAGCCATCGTGGGCAGGCTCACGATATACCCTTGCAGCCCTAGCTTTGATGGCCCAGGTCGTTTTAGTCTGGTCTATCTCGCGTATCATAGACCAAATTCCAACCATTTTGAGAATTTTTTTACTTGAATAGGAAATTTGTAATGAAATGTTTTGGTGTGGGAAGAAGTGTTCCCGTGGGTTGCTTTTTATAGGGGAGATGAAAGGTGTAGATACATTTCCAACTTACATTGTCTAGTTCATTCTCAACTATTTTGAGTTAGGAACTTTGAAACTTCCCAATAAGTATACTGTTGAGCCACCCATTCCTGCCAATAGGATTTATTGTGAGACTATTCCCACCACCCTCTTTAACGAATAGCAAAAAAGTAGCTCCATCTTTTTGAATCTTAGCCACACAAAATGAATAGGCAGGGTTGGATAATCGGGATTCACTCTACCTCCATGTGTAAACAGTGTAAATTTATTTTTGACCATTAGGAGTGCAGGAACATGGCTCCTTTTACTGTTTGCACCATTTTGGAACTAACCGGAACCCATCCATCGGATCAACCCAAATGAATTCTTATTTACCGGTTGTTGTTTTTTTTATTTACCATGCCAACCAACAAATCATATCACTTTTTACTATTTACCTCAACTATAGCTTGATATTGACATTTTTGGGAGGGAGTACTATTCACAAAATTCTTTTGATTTTATATTAGTATAGATTATCCCTAACAACTTTTTTTCCCACGTAAGTGCTTACGTATTGTACATTTGTACCAAGTCCGTATTCTTGATGTTTTTAATATGTTCAAATTACGCTTATGGTTAAATTAATGAAATAGTGATAATTGTTTTTTAAAGTAATTTGAACATATTAAAACAAAGAAGGATTTTGTACAATTATATGGTACATATGCACTTACGTTGGAGAACAAAAAAAAAGTGGTCAAGGATAATTACGTGCAGATAAATTAGTACAATTTTAGATAATTCTAAATACATCCTCCGTATTTGATTTGTTCCTTATTTAATGTATTAATTTATTAACATATAATTTTGTACAAATTACAAATTGTATGATTAAAGTTTATTTTTATTAAAACGATATTAATCTGCCATCAAATTTTTAAGTATGATATCATAATATTTAGTTCCACAAATATTTTATTATTTATAATTTATTATAAAAAAATTCTAATGCAGTACTTCGTATTACACAGGTAAACCATTACAGAAAAATAAATAAAATACCCCAAACTTTGAAGGGGTGGGAGATGAACACCCTAAACTTGTATATGTAATTTAAATACACCAAACTTTATATAAAAAGTTATTTTAGCACTATAGTCAAGTATTATTTCTTTTAAAAATGTAATTTTATGGTATTAATTGCATAATTTAATTAATATATTTTAGAATTTATGAAGACACAATTGACATTCTAAATTTCCGTTGCGAAATAAATAATGTTGCCCCAAATCTATATAATTGCAACTAACACTTTTAGTTTTCTATTTAAAATTATGCAACTAACCCCATAAATTTACATTTTTGAAAGAAATAATACATGATAATGGTGTGAAAATAACTTTCTGTATAAAATTTAGGGTATTTAAATTACATATACAAGTTTGGGATATCTCACGCTCTCTCAAAGTTTAGAGTATTTTAATTATACTATCGTATGTCCCTTACACAAATTAGAGTGCACCATGTCAAATCCAAGGGCCCACCATTGAACTTAAATTACGCCTTCAAAACAGTGAAATACAATCACAAAATATAATAATCCACCGGTCGGTAGGAAGAAAGTAAAAAGAAAACCAATCAATAATCGCTAGAGAAAATGGCAGAGCTGTTTCTGAAGCAAGCAAAGCAATATGCCGAAGGGAGGCCAACATACCCAGAAGAGCTTTTCCATTTCATTGCCTCAAAAACTCCCAGCCGTGATCTGGCTTGGGATGTCGGCACTGGTAGCGGCCAAGCAGCCAAATCAGTACGTCTTTCTCTTTATCATCTCATCTTTTTCTTTTTCTTTACCAAATTCTTTCAATAAAGGAGAGAAACAGGATCGACCATCTTCAAGACATTTATTAAAAAAATGGATTCGAAGAGGAACTATACTAGATTTAGGCAATAACAGTTTGATAGGAAAATGAAATAAATTAAACTAATTTTTTTAAAGAAACTATTAGATCACCCATGAATCTATGCGAAACCCATTGCTATCATTTCCATTTGGTCAGGACCCAAGTGGTTCTCCATGTCAAGTACAGATTTTTCTCAGTAAGAAGACCCTTAGCTTGTTTAAAATTTAGGTGACAACTCCGGTACCTTTCTAAAATATGGGGTACCGTACCTGTCATTCATTTGATTGGACCACATCACTTTATCATTTTTAATATAAATTTAAATAATTCAACTGCTACATTCTCATTGATCCATGTGGACAAAGGTATGGTAAATTTAATTTTTACGAAGTACTTACGAATAGAAGCATGTGCTGCTATTTTCGGAGCATGTATTGAATGTGCTGTCTTCATATTTATTTTATAAATTAAATAAATATATTCATTTGGGCATTAATGGAACCGGATTTACCTATAGTATTAAATAATAATAAAAATTGTGGAATATGAGCATGCATCATTACTTATAATTATTGTTACTATTAGTCTGTAATCAACTCTTCTGTTTTGCTAAATTTTGTATTTAAATAATTGAATGAACAGTACGCAAAATATCGACATCTTCATGATACTATCGGCATATACGGACTACTGGGACCCGATCTAATTTTGTCTGATAAATCTGGTCTAATATAATACACTTTATACGTCCTAAGACTTTATATGTTCTGTCTTGGTTTGGTAGGTAATTAAGGATAGCACTTTATGTTGAACAAAACTTATTTTTCTAAAAACTAAGAAGTTTTATGTCTACAATATACGTAGTACTCCGTATATACTCGCTCCGAAATGAAGTTCTCAGTTTGACCTGCACACATATTTATGCATGTTAAGACACGGGGTTCCATCCTAAAAGGTCTACCTTGTTAGTAGGAGTAGCTCATGTGTTAATATAGCACTTTGTTCATCCAAACATTTCCGGTGTGGGACATTTTAACAATGCAAGTTAGAATTTTGTTTTGACTTTCTAAGTTTTTCCTTACTTTATGTCAAATTAAACAAAAAGCAGGTAAAAAGTAAGGGTAGTTGTGACTTTTGGGATAAAAGTGATTTCTTTTTATAGAAAGAGGAACTTCTTTTTGGGACATGCATAAAAGGAAAGTGTGAACTTCTTTTCGAGACGGATGTAGTATTATTTTAGAGTATAATGTTTTAATGGGGTCAAAAAAATAAAAGGGAAAATTGGAAACTCATAATCTTAAATTTTAGGGATAAGAGTCAGATAGGGTCTCGAACTTGAAAAAAAATGTCAAATAAGGCCATATTTAGGATGCTCTGTCCGGCCGACGCCATTTGGGGTGGTTCCCGGTGGAATTTTTTGATAATTTTTTTTGAGAATCTTATTCATTAAGTCTAGTTTACTCATATTAAATTTGAACTAACAATTCAATCGGGAAGGCATTCAAATGAATTCATGAAGATAACTGCTCTTTTAACGGCACAGTTATCTTCAAGAATTCATTTGAATGCCTTCCCGATTAAAGTTTTAGTTCAAATTTGATATGAGTAAACTAGACTTAATAAATAAGATTCTCAAAAAAATTCATCAAAAAATTCCACCGGGAACAACCCCAAATGGCGTCGGCCAGACAGAGTATCCTAAATATGGCCTTATTTGACATTTTTTTTTAAGTTCGAGGCTCTTTTATTCCGCTTTTTCGTCTTCTTATTCTTTTTTTTATTTCTTTACATGTTTATGTATACCTTTTTTCCTTCTTTTTCTTCTTATCTTTTATTGTATATTTCACTTCCATTTTTATGTATTTTTTCGATTAGTTCCCTTCTTAAAAAAAGATCTATTTCCCACCCTACTAATATTTTACTTTACTTTCTTTTTGACTTTCACTTATTTATTTCCTTTCTCCTTTTATTCCCTTATTCCACCACTACACTACAAGAAATGTTACATTTGGTGACACGCATTTTTATTGACACATACAAAAGTGTCACAATAGCAATGTATATAATGACACTTTGTGTGACAAGAAAATATATTAGATTTTTCTTGAGTTCATATAATGTTATCAATGCATAACAAAAATCTAACTTTCTTCACTAAACTAAATAAGTACTTCGTAGTTGTTTAGAAAAATATAAATTAGTTTTGGCGACACTTTAAACAATTAAAGGAATGCTCAAAAAGATTTATGGAATATATAACAAATGAAATGAATGAGTATCAGGGCCGTTAAACGAATATTTACACATTTCAAAAACCAAAGTTCAATGGTCAGCCTATGAATCTGGCCTTTTCACGTAAGATTGGCCGTCCTTCTGCAAAACCGCTAATCAGGTCTAGCGGCTCTATGGCGCTCAACACAGACGAGAACATTCGGATTCGTCCATCCCCAATTGGAACTTAAGCGGATCCTCGAGGCATACAGTAATATTTCCTCATCTAATCCGCTTCTCGATATTATACGGAGTATTGTTTTTTCATTGTTTTTTCAGTAATAGTTAGATATGATTTGTGTTTTACATCCCAAAGTATGATCATAGAAACTGAATATGCTTAATTAGTAAACATCTGAGTGTATTTCTACATATGAATGTGTGTGATGAAACTGATGATCGATATATATTAAGTACTTTGTGAAATAAAATATGAAGAAACTCATTCTTGTTTGCATACAATGTGTTGACAAAACTCCTCAAAGAATTGAGAAGCCTAACATCACTGAGTTGTACGATTAATGTCACCAGAATATTTTAATTTTTAATTTCAAGTTGTTTTACTAGAATAAAAAACATTTAAAAATTAAAAATTCGGACCTCATTTTTTTTAATTCGTTCCTTTATTTTACTACAACTAGACTTTTCACCCGTGCGTTGCACGGGTGACGGATGCTGTTGTAGTAATTCATATCTTTTAATAAATGACAAATACTGTGATAAAACAGAATAAAGCTTGTTTATGAAGAACAAAAAAACAAAAGCTATGTTGTTCTATACACCATATTATAAATAATATTAAAAGTTTTCTTAATGGTTTGTTTTCACTATAACATATACTACTATGTATAAATTTCAATTTATATGAGGACGTTACTCAAGAGGCTATGATGTATAACTCATTCGTAAAAACACATCAACTTGTATCAAATGTTTTCCCTACTCTTGTAGATGGTAATCTCATAAGTTAACATTCAAGTAATTTATCTTGACTAAGATTTGGATGAGAGCCTCATGTCTCATGGATTGAAACTGCATTTCAATTACTTTTAGCTTGTATTACATCGTTCTTGAAATCATATTAGCTTCAACTATGTGCATTTCGAAGCTCAGTTATCAAACTGTGAGTACCATTAAAAAGTTCAACTGAATGGCGTATATTCCTTAATAGCACCACATGACATCTACTCTCAATACCTATATAAAAATAATTATAATAAACATTTAAGTTCATTGTAGGTCTTCTTCATTGAATTTACATATTGAGCTACACTAAATCTGTTTACATATTAATTTTTTTAGAGCGCAACATAGAATTATCTGTCCGAAATGAATAATGTAAAAAACTCCTTTCAAAGATTGTCTCTCACTATTATAGACGAAGTATGTTCACTTGTAAAGCTATCATTGTATCAACCAATGCTCTAGTTTCACAACAAAAATCACTATGTAGTTTAAAAAAACAGATTGACATGCTCAGAGAAAGAAGAGAAAATACAACTATCACTTTTAAAAAGCTTATAAAGAACCACATTCATAATTGTTCTTTCCCACACCCCTATTTCTATCTTCCCCCAATCCCACAAGTTACAATGACTTTTTAAAATTGCTCTATGATGATTCAATAAATTAGGAAGCATGTGATATTCTTCAGTACCTGCACGATACAGGAAAGGTAAAAACAAAAATAAAGTAAGTAGAAGATCCTGGTTAGTTGATTGCATGACTGTAATGCATAAGGTAGTGAGCGGGAAAAAAACCCTCCACAAGTATAGCTATTAGGTAGAAAGAATGTTGTGTAGTACCAAGTTAAAACTGGAATTAGTTGGAAGAACAAAATCTGAACTTTTAGCATCAAAACTTTTATTAGAAATTTAGAACAGACCATTTACTTACAATCTTTGTTCATAACACCAGTCATTTATTTTCTAGATGTTAACTTGTTTCCCAGCTGTTAGTTTTTATCTTACTTTCTAATTTAGTGATATTTTTTTCTTCCATATCCTAATTAAGTCTAAAAAGAGGGCATACTCACAAAAGTAAAGTCAAGATTCACAAAAGTAAAGTCAGAAGCCACAACTTAAGTCTTATTAAAGAATAGAACCCCTCCCCAAATGGCACTAAAATCTATATATGTTCTCACTCTTCTCACATCCTTGTAGAGTGAACTTGTGGTGTTTAGCATGGCTGCATAACTTAGATGCTAACTCATAGCAGCAAGCAGCACGCCACAAGAACACGCATGGTCTCCATATCCTACACAATAGAATATAATGTTGAGTAAATGACAATGTTTAATTCACTTATTCACAGGTTAGATTATCTTATGTAATAAGACTATTGTAGAATATGGATTAGGGAAATAGGAGCTTACATTTATGTCGAGATAATATAAGAGTACACTGTGTTTATCCTTAACAAATTGACAGCATAAGTAATATTCCTTTGGTCCCAAAGTATTAGATGCCAATTTCTTTTTGCACGCATATTATGGAAAAAAATGACACATTTGGTCAGCTTTGCAATTTTTCTTCCAGAAGTTGGTTAACTTTTATTAAAAAGTTGAGCAAATTGTTCAAATGCCAAATTAACAGAGGGTAAATCAGAAAGGAGAAAAGGTAGTAGAGTTCATAAA